CAGTTATCTTTAAATCAGATTTTTAAATTGGGGTCTTTGAAACCTTCCAAAGTTCCAAGAAACCCTTAAACAGTACCCTCTAAAAAGAGTATGGAGAGTCACTAAGATTCTAAGCATATTTGAATAGAACCTTGACCTGTTGGGTTTACTTGGCATCTTTGAAATCTGAGGGTTGGATCTAAATGATCTAATAGGTCCTTTTTCACATAGAAATCTTTAGAGTTGTCTTTTTCTTTTCCCTAGAAGAAATTGTAAAGCATTTGGCAGTTACATGGTTTCCCTTATTTGCAATAATTAGCACATGTCTAGGATAATCTTATCATATGAGCAGAAAAGGTCAAAAGCTGTGTACATATGACCATATAAGATGATGCTAAGCAAAATGAACCCCAACGTATGGACACAAGAGGTTTTTCTTTGTCACTGTTGTTTTTAATGTACTATGTGAATTTTTTGGTTCTTTTGTATGTTCTTCCCCCTATGGTATATCCCCTCTTGTCACTATATTTGATTTTGGTGCCCTGCATCTTGTATATACATTTGTCTAATTTGGGGAGGGGAAGGGGAATAACAAAATGCTGAAACAAGGACACAGGATGACCCATTGCAACAATGAGACTCACAAGACACTATGCTGGAAATGAACTTTACAACTCTGGGAGGGGGGGGGGTAAGTAGGGGAGGGAAGGGATAGTAGGACAAAAACAAAGGAGGGGGTAACAATGTTCAACAAGAAATACACTCACTACCTTACTCATGTAACTGTAACCCTTCTCTACCGCATCTTTACAATAAAATTTTTTAAAGAAAATTAGCATAACATTTGAAAGCAAAGCAGGAAGAAACCTGATCTACTTTGAATTACACTATTGTCATCCCCTGGTGTTAATGGTTTGGACATTTTAAATTTGAAGGACTACATTTGCTACTGTGGTCATTGAACTATATTCTGCTACAAGGCAGGTGGCTTATGCACCCCATCAGAAAATGACTGATCAAATCCACTGAGTCACAAAATTAAACGTGGGTAGTAAACACCTTTCTGTTACCTTTTTTCTTTTAATTAAGTTTGAAGACAAAGTGCTAAAACTAATGTGATGCCACCAGCTGCTGAGAATGATGGGAGACAGAGAGGCAGAGGCAGAGAATAGGAGGTAGAGAGGGTTATGTATGTATAAGCTATGGTAGGAAGGTAGAACGAGGGTACGTTTCATTGGCTGAAAAGATGAGAGATTCATTAAGTACAATGGAGGCTAATAGTTTAATATAAAACAGTTTTTTAAATTATCTTTAAGTAGTTGTAAAAAGGAGTGGCAATTTAACAAATAAGTTATGGATACAATGCATCTTGATTAATAAAAACAAATTCTTATTGTTGTTATTATTATTATTTCATTGGTTGTGGGGCTTGAACTCTGGGCCTGGGCACGCTCCCTCAGTTCTTCAGCTCAAGGCTACCACTTGGGCCACAGCACCACTTTCAGTTTTCTGGTGGTTTATGGGAGATAAGAATCTCACAGACTTTCCTGCCCAGCCTGGCTTTGAACCTCTATCCGCAGATCTCAACCTCCTGAATAGCTAGGATTACAGGTATGAGCCACCGGTACCAGAAAAACAAATTATTTTTAAGGAACACCATCTCTCTCTCACATACACACACCTGGTTGGATTTTGTTAATATACCTAATTCTGTTTAGTTTATAAAGGATTTCCATTTCTGAAGTGAATCAACACAATTATCTATTTCTTGGCTACCACTAGTCTGAGGGTCTAACTGGGTTAGATTCCCTAGCCCAGATACAGTTCTAAATGCTTTATATATATTATCGTCTCAGGAAATTAATACAGAGACCCTTATTGAAAGTACTAACATCCTACACTAACTTAACAAGTATAAAATTGTCACAAGGCTTTTCTCCACAGAATATTTAGACTACAAGAAGGCAAAGGAATATTTAAAGTGTTAAAACAGGCCAACTTTGAACTTACTAAAACTGGCTATGCATTTAAATGGGAGGGTGAAGTAAAGATACTGTCCTAGATAAACTCTCACAGTTTGCCAAATATAGACTGTTTGGATAATAATTTTGGAGAATGTAATATAGTAAAATATAATTCTGTGGAAGGCATAAAATATGAGGAATAAGAGCATGTAGGGAATTTAGTGTTTCTTTTAGTTCTTTGTATAAACAGGCAATAACAGCTTTAGGCTGAGCAGTGGTGACTCATGTCTGTAATCCTAGCTACTTGGGCGATAGAGTTCATGAAGATCCAGCCTCCTGGAAAATCTAGGGTGGTAAGGTGCATCTTTCATCACAGCCATGGTCAAGCTGGCCTGGGCAAAAAGTGAGACACTCTCACAACAAATAAACACAGTGAAAAAGGCTGGAGGTTTAACCAAGCTATAGAGCATGAAGCCTAGAGTTCAAGCCCTAGCACTGACAAAGAAAGAAGAGAGGGAGGGAGAGGGGGAGGGAATAAGAAAGGAAGGAAAGAATGAAATAGAAAGAGAAAAGGAAAGAAATAAAAGAAAGACAGGAAGGAAGGGGAAGGGAATGGAAAGAAAAGCAAGGACTGTAGTGCATAGGAGCATGGTAGAGTAAATGATTAGAAAAACTCACTAAAGTACTTTTAAATTCTATATAGGGTGTGCATAATCAATTGAAGGTATCTCTGCACTTTTTGATGGTATCAAAAATAGGGTACATGGTTCTCCTGTCTATGGAAGAAAACCCAAGTAAGTAGGAAGGAGAACAAAAAGTGAAATGTATAAAATGATGAAATAAAACGTGACACACATTCAGATAAGAAGTGGCCTAAACATATAGGGCTAACTTTGTCAGGCAACTTCTCCAATGGACAGGAAACAAAGAGCTACATTTATAGAAAAAACCAATGAGGTGATGAACAAAGGCCGAGCTGTCAAATATAAACAGAAGATGAGTAAGATCAAAGGAGTACCACGAGCTAGAATACATATCCCGGTAAGTATAGGGCTTTGGGACGTACATAATAGTAATTTGTGGATTTGCCATTGATTTGTTATTGTACTTAGAAATTTAATCCCACCCTCAAGAAACTGATGAAGTAAAGTAAGTAATGAGAGGGAAAGCAAGCAGACAGAGATTGGGGCAACCATGAATATGATCGTTAGCACAAAGAATTGCCTCAATAAAAGCAGAAAACATTTTATTTGAGAGAATGTGTGGGTTAGAAAGAAAGGTTCATCTTATGTATCAGTTAGGAAGTCTCACATGATAAAATCTAATAGTATAAGGATTCTTTGCAACAATGAATCAAAATAAGTGAAGTCTAAAATAAAGACAGAATTTCCTTTTGTGATAGGTTCACTGGTGAGGCTATATCTTCAGAACCATTTGGTGAGATAGTTTTTGACATCCTTATTGACCCTTCATTTTTTTCATTTTAAAAACCAGCATTAAAAACAAAACAAACAAAACAGGTGGGCACTGGTGGCTCATGCCTGTAATCCCAGCTACTCAGGAGGCTGAGATCTGAGGATAACAGTTCAAAGCCAGGCTGGGTAGGAAAGGCCATGAGACTCTCATCTCCAATAAACCACTCAAAAAACTGGAAGTGGCACTTTGGCTCAAGTGGTAGAGCACTATGAGCTGAAAAGTTGAGGGACAGAGCCCAGGCCCAAAGTTCAAGCCCCATGTCTGACAAAAAAAATAAGATAAAAATAAAAAAAAATAAAGCAAAAGCTCAGCCTTTGTACCATTGAAACCTCAGCTTGGTTCTTTCACCTGAAATGTGCCATGGGAAGCATCTCTTTAGTAGATAACATGTGATTCTCATTGCCTTCCATGTTGCTCTGAACATTTGCCTTATTAAATGATCCTATATTTGTTGGTGTATTTGGTACAATACCCATCATTTTCCTGGTTTCATCCCATCTCTTTTCTTTACGATCCCGTCTCTTTTTTTCCCCCATAGGTCTATCTGTGCTTACAAGTTCTGTAGGCTATTCATGAATTATAAAAATGAAGTAATTTCTCTAGGGAGGGTGTGCCAGGGTCTTTTGGAAAGTAGCTTTGTCATGTGTAGCCATCACTGAATGGAAAATCATTCACTAAAGAGGAACTTGAGACAATTATGCACCTTGCTATATCTTCCTTTTTATAAACCAAGATTTTTTTCTCATCTCAAACTCTATTTTGTTCCTTCCTTTTCTTTTTAATTTTGCAAATGACGCGTAATAGTTCTTGGGGAGTATGTGTATGTTTTTGTAATTGTAGACAAGGTCAGGCAGTGTTTGTACTTGCGCTAAATTGCTGTTATATAAACAAAGATAAAACCATTTGAGAGGAGCATTTAAGAATTAGAAGGTTTATAGTCAATACCTAACAATGAAAATTTTCAGCTTAGCAGAGATGACAAATGGATGTAAGTAAGTGCTTAATAAATAGGACTTTGTGGATATGAGGTAACAATCTGAAGTGTGAAGAGATTTAACAGTGTAGGGCTGCTTTGCCAGTGCATGTCCAAGCTTCTGCTTGAAAACACTCACTGCAGTCCAGGCAACATTGTAGGGGGAGTGGAGTAGGTTGAGGAACATAAAGATGATGAACATAAAAGAGGTCATCTGTACGTGTGTGTGTGCGCGCGCGCATGCATGTGTGTGTGCGCGTGTGTGCATACACCAGTACTGGGGTTTGAATTCAGAGCCTGGACACTGTCCCTTACCTTTTTCATTCAAGGCTGACACAAGCCACATCTCCTCTTCAGCTTTTTGGTTGTTAATTGGAGGTAAGAGTCTCATGGACTTTCCTTCCTGCCTGGCTTCAAACCATGATCCTCAAGTCAATCTCTTGAGTAGCTAAGATTACAGATGTGAGTCACCAATCCTCATTAAGGAATTCTTCACAACCAAGAATCTTTAGTATTGGAACTCTCTCTCTTTAAAGTAGTCCATGAACTTGTTCCTTTCTTATTTGAATTTTACAAATGCCTACTTCCTCTCTTGTCTTCTATTTCAGATTTCATCTGAGAAAATGTCTTTTAGATTCGGCCAGCATCTCATCAAGCCATCTGTGGTGTTTCTCAAAACAGAACTGTCCTTTGCCCTTGTGAACAGGAAACCTGTGGTTCCAGGTCGTATCCTTTTCTTTTAAGAGGTATGAAAAACCCTTCTGCCTAATCAACAAAATGAACGCAGGATTTGTCTCCAATGTCTGTTAAAGAAAAAGGTAAGAATCCACCTTTTTTCCTCTTTGGAGAGACCAGGTATGATGTTATTCACATTTATTTTGAATCCAGTTGGTGGCACCAGTAATATGCTTGATCAATGTTGCAGAACTTCTGAAAGGAGTTGCTTAGCAACCAGGGCTTCGGAGGTGAATTTTCGCTTGACCTTTTTACTACTGGAGCTGTGTAAATAGGTGTTTCTAAAACTGGCCCAGTAAAATATCCTTGGCACTTTGGATTCATGTTTTTCATTGTGAATTTTAATGGTAGAATTCACATGGTAACTTTGCCATATGGAAATGTGATATTATATTACAAGCTAAGGGGCTGGGAAGGTGGCTCAGTGGTAGAGCGCTTGCCTTGCATGCCTGAGGCCCTGGGTTTGATTCCGCAGCACCACATAAGCAAAAAAGAAAAAAAAGCCGGAAGTGGCGCTGTGGCTCAAGTGGTAGAGCGCTAGCCTTGAGCTGAAGAGCTGAGGGACAGCGCCCAGGCGCAGAGTTTAAGCCCCACGACCGACAAAAAAAAAAAAAAAAAAAAAAAAGGATATATTACAAGCTAAGACTTGCTTTGTTTTGTTAATTCTTGGAGATTGTTCAGTTATGAGTTTTGATTCAACTCATCTTAACTTGGAAATCACCTATGATGGGATGTGAAATGACATCTTCTCTTGGGTAAAACTCCTGTTTAGACTATTGTCCAGTGTCTGGACAGTAGTAGTAGTAGAAGAGTTATTTTATCTGTGGGGAAAGACTTTTTTCTTATTGACTTCAGTAGGAGCTTTATTTTTCTTCTACAGTGAAAGTTATAGGAGTTTGTGAAATACTTGGAGAAGTTATTTTTAAGTGATTGATATGATCATTTATGATTGTGTACATAAGGATTTTGTTGAATTTTCAGTTTTTTTCTTTACTCTTATAAAAGGCAATGAGAACAAAGCTTCCAATTTTAACGTAATACGTATTTTTCTGTGCAGAGACATGGTTTGGAAATGATTTTGTAATAATTCTGAATGTGCAAGTATACTGAGAAGTTTTTCAGGATAGGTTATTTTTTTTTTATTGAATAAAAGTACTTAAGAAAGAGCCTTGTGAATACTTAGCCATGGTAATAACACAATAAGAAGAAAACATTTACCAAATCACAATTGCATGACAGATTGCCAAATTCTTTTTTTTTTTTTTTTTGCCAGTCTTATGTCTTGAAATCATGGCCTGGGTGCTGTTTCTGAGCCCCCTTGTGCTCAAGGCTAGCACTCTAGCACTTGAGCTACAACAACACTCTCTGCTCTTTCAGAATAGTTTACTGGAGATAGAGTCACATGGACTTTCCTGCCTGGGCTGGCTTCAAACTGTGATCCTCAGATCTCAGCCTCCTGAGTAGCTAGGATTATAGATGTGAGCCACCAGGCCTGGCTTAAAGTGCCAAATTCTTTGAGTCCAAATTTACCTGAGTTTTATAAATTTATAAAAACAAATATCAAACTATAAGCTAACAAAAATGTTATGTATCATTTTACTTTGTAATATTTTAAGGTTTTTTTTTAAACCATTAAAGATACAGTTGAATCAAAATACCCAATAATAGAAAAATACAATATTCTGTTTATAAAAATAAATGAAAATAAAAGCTGAAGGAGGATGATTTACGAAGATGCCTATAACAGTATAAGTTTTAAGATGTATATAACAGTTTTATATAGAATTCTCCTAAAGGACCTTGAATTTTTGGAATAATAAAACATTGTAGTTTTTGTCATTGTCTTTTTCCAAGGGATTAAAAAAACCCTACTAACTATAAATTGAGATGGAAAAAGATTATAGTTTAAATGTCATTCCCCTCCCTACGCCCCTCTTCCCCCCCTCCCCCCCGACCCCCCGTGGGACAGTTTTAATTGACTTTTAACAAAGAACTATGGGAGCTTGGGAGGAAAAAAGTCAATGCAGATGTCTAAATTTTACTGCCTGCGACTCAGAAAATGTGAGGTCTTAGAGATGTACTGATTTTCAAAATGGCTAATTTATGCAATGAACCTGGCTTTATGAGTTTTCTCATTCCGTATCTTGATTTTTTTCATGATGTCTCAAACCAGCGCTGAAAGTGTGATGAGTAAGCGCTGCAGTGGACATACATGAGAGAAAGGGGTAATGCTTTCTCGTAGGGAAGAGCTTCCGTGCACAGGGTGCGCTTGACGACTGTCTGTTTCCCACCAGTGGCTCTGGGGGTCACCATTTTATAAGTGAATCCGTACCAGTTACCTGAGTAAATGCCAAGGACATGGAGAGTGCTCATTAAAAGAAGCAGCTTATTTGGAAAGTAGCAAGAGGACCCAGCTCTTTCTGAGACTAGCAGTAAGAAGCCAGTATATGTATATTTTTGTAATCAATACACTCTGTTAGGCTATTTCACATCTGCAGTGTTGAAAATGGTTCTAGGGCCAGTGGATAATGTATTCAGACAATCCTTTTTTATGCGTTAATTTTGTAACTTTTTATTTTATATTACCTTTGTAAACTCTGTTAGGTTTCAGCTGTGAGAAGCATCTTACTAAAGCCACTCATTTACTTGCAAAAAGCCATATTCTTTTGTCTTTAGATTTGCTAACTCAATCAGTGGATAGCCCTGTCCACTAACATTTCATTAAATAAATGGTAATGTGTCTGGAGTAGGCTTTTATCTTTCCCCAGCATTTTGTCCTGCCTGCCCTGCCCTAACCCTTTGGTATAGGCCATCCAGTGTTTTTGCAGCTTCCCTGTTTCTAGGCTGCACCTCATTCTAAGCTATTGCTCTGAACACTTCACTCAGCAACCCACTGAGGACTCCCTCCATATGTTTGAAGGAAAAGTTCACACTCTGGCATAGGTTTTAAGGACTTTTCCTATTTTCACTTTATCATAGTTCTCCTTTGCCGCCCTTGTACTAGAGTTACAGAATTCCCCATCCTTTTCATTTGAACTAAGATGCTTTGATAACTACCCTCCCTCTGAGGAAAAAAAGAATCTGTCCTCATTGTTTGTGACACTTGATTCTTTATTCACATGTTGATTCATTCAGAGCTTTATTATTGAGCTCATACCCTGGTCTGGCACCATGCCAGACACTTCATCCCAGTCTGCCTCATGTCAGGACTATGTGTAGTCTTGTTTGCATAGAAAAGCATGCATTCCTGTGAGTAGAACTTCCTTTTGCAGACCTCTTTTCTTCTTCTTAGCACCCCACAGTACTATGGTTACTGAATTTAAAGTGAAACTGTGAATACTAGAAACATACTCACTTCTGTAATGAATGGAATGGCATGATAAGGGTCTACTGAAATCCTGTCTTTTCATATTGTCATTCTCAAAGCCAAGTCCTGTCACCATTTTGTCTTAGACTTTACAGAATCCTATTTAAATGATATTTTCCCAACATTCCCTATGTCAGCGACAACTCTTGTTTAAAATTATGTGGTGTTTGGTGGCTTGTCTTAAAGGAATGAATAGATTGGCCTATGGGTAAAGATGCTTTTTCCATTTCTAAAAGCATGTTAATTTGTCAGTGGAAAACTTTATATTTATTTACAGGCAGCATACTGACATAGACATACAAAATAGAAGCTCCTATTTTCTATTTTTCTTTGATTCTGAGTAAAAGCAGTATTCAGGTGACCACTCATGAGATGCAAATGTTATCTTTGAGTTCTTGCCCTTAACTAACATTTTGCTGCCCCTGACTACCCTGTTTTCTTATGACTTTTTGCTGGTTTTCAGAAGTAAGAAAGGAACTGTTTGATTGGAGACCATAGATAAGCTTTGAAACAGAACTGTTTGCTTCATTCTCAGGAGAGCCACTTCAGTCCCTCCTTGTCCCCACCTAAAGCAAACACTCCTGTTTCTTGCCAGCAGTGCTTAAAGCCGATTGAATAGGCTTTGGCCACTGTGGTACAACACTCCAGAAGAATGTGTCAAAATGTCTTTAATCCATTAATTTCCTGTTACCAGAAAGTCCTTCTCAGAGGTTCTTTAGGGAGGAGAACAGAATCATTTTAGAGAGTGCATCCTCAGAATTTTGCAAAGAATCTTTTATTCGTGCACATTAATGCAGGTCAGCTGTTGTTTGTGGCTTCAATGAGCTTGAGCCATTGTGGTTAATACTTGTTTCTTTCCCCTTGCATTGGGCTGTATCTACCTGAGCACTTGAGTTGAGCATGAAAAATGAATGTGAACATGACTGGATTCCATTTGGGGACTGGGGCTTTTATTGTAAATAGTATTATTCATTTGTTATGTCTTGTTGTTTCCAGCAGACAGTGTATTGATCTGTGGATTGCTATTCAGAAGAGCATATGGAGCTCTAACATGAGGGGGAACATGGCAGAATTGGTAGACAGTCTGAATGTGGAATATAAGGATAGAGAGACACTTTGCTAGCTGACCAGATACTATCTTATACAAATCATTTGTCAACGGTTTATTGAATCAGTAATTAAAAAGAACAATGTCTCTTGACAGCTGCATCGTATGCAGAATGTTACTAGACCAAACAATGTAGGAATGATGCATGGAGAACAGCCTTACAAAGTGGGTGTGTGAAGAACTGGAGTAGGCATCTTCAAGAACATTTCTCCTTATATGTGTATTGCAATGGGAACTCTACTCTTAAGATTCAGCCTAGGGGAAAAAACAGAGGAGGAGGTAGCAATGTTCATAGGAAATATACTCATTATCTTACTCATGTAACTGTAACCCCTCTGTGTAGTATCTTTACAATAAAAATATATACTAAAAGAAAATTCAGCCTCAGTAGAAAGAAAATTAAAAACTGTACATTTAAATGAGTCACGTTAACTTTTCTGTTTTCAGGTCTTTGACACATTGAGTACTGCTTGAAATAAATGAAAGACTAATAAAAATAGTTTTCTTACTTAACAG